GACCTCAGAAAAGTACAATTATGCTGTAGTTGTCATGTGACTGGCTTATCTCACCGTCATGTCCTCAAGGATCATAAATGAAGCAGGTGCCAGAATTTTCTTCTTTTAAAACATTGAGTAATATCCCATCATGTGGATAAGCCACATTTTTTATTCATTCATCTGCCAATGGACACTCCAGTCACGTCCAGATTTTAGTGACTGTGATGAATGTGTCTGGGAATACAAGTGTACCAATAATCCTCTTGGGGACCCTGCTTTCACTTGTCCTGAAATATTCAGAAATGGGGTTGCTGGATCAGGTAGTAACTGTACTTTTAATTTTTTGAGGACCTCCCAATTGTTTCTTTTCAGAGGGATTGCACTGTTTTACTTTCCCACCATAGTGCATAAGCATTCTAATTTCTCCACATTCTTGCTATCTCTTGTCATTTTCTGTTTTTAATACTAATAATCCTAATACATGTGAAAAAGTATATTTTATTAATATCTAATGTAATACCATTTTGAGACTTGTTTCATGGCCCAGCATTTGGTCTATATGCAGTGGATGTCTCATGACTACTTGAAAATAATTGCACTCTGCAATCGTTTGCTGTGTTAGTCTATAAACATCAATTAGGAAAAGTTTTGATAGTGTTGTTTAAATACTCTATATCCTTCTGATGTTTATTTGTTGTCCTCTAAAGTAAGGTGCTAGAAACCCTCATGATCAACAATGTTTTACTAAATAACCTAGGTGAACTTACATCCCTTGAAAGATGCAACTTGTCAAAATGAATATAAAAAGAAATAAAAATAAGAAGAGCCCTTTATCTCTTAAAAATTAAATCTGTCACACATTATTTACTTATAAAGAAAACTCCAGGTCAGGTCAACTTCTCTGAGAGGATTCTATCAAATAATTATGGAATAGTTAAGACTAATTTGCAGGCTCTTTGAGAACACAGAGGAGATAAAAATGCTTTCACCAGGGTCAGCATCACCCTGATCCCAAACTGTAAAAAAGACTTCACACAAAACGAAAATGATAGATCAATATCTCCCTCAGGCATAAAAATCCTCAACAAAATAGAAAAAGGAATCTTGCAGTATGCAGAAGAATAGTATATTGTGTCCAAGTAAGGATTACTCTAGGAATGCAGGACTGATTGAGCGTCAGAGCATGATCAATATAGATCAGCACGTTAACAGGACAGAGCATCATGCGAACCTCTCCTTATGACAGGAAAAACATTTGGGAACACTGAACGCCCATGTGGCAAAACCGAGTTCAGCAAAATGGTAAGAGATGGGGGGACCTCTTTAATGAAGGGCATTCAGGAACGAGGTGCACATAGTTAACTTCGTGCTTCATAGCCAAATATCGAAAGTTTCCCTTCACAGCAGCCCCAGGGCAGGGGGGTCTGATTGCACCAACTCTCTTTAGCATTGCACTGGAACTTCTAACCAACACTCCAAGGTCAGGGAAATACAAACTGGAAAGGAACAAAGTCTGCCTTTTTTGCAGGCAACATGATACTGCATATATAAACTCCAAAGGATTTAATAAAAAGGCAAAACCTTCAAGGACTAAAATTTAACCAGATTGTTGGATAAAAGCTTATATTCAAAAATTATGTTTGTATTGGGACTGGGGTGTCATTCAGTGGTAGATTGAGAGCTTAGCATGTATGAGGCCATTTAGGTTCTCATTGTGCTCCCCCAAAAGAATCATGTTATATATTCTATCAACAAGTAACTGGAAGAAATATAACAAGATACCATTTGTTATAACACCAGAACATCAATTGTTATTTAAATTAAATTTATTGGTACAATTCAGATATGCATAGTGATCACATTCATCATAGAGAATTTGTACCTGTACATGATGTATCTTAGTTCCTCTTTTTCCCCATTCCTCTCCCCTCTCTTCAACCCCTCTTCCCCTCCCTATTTACAAAGTTTTGTTTCCATTTTATCCTTTTTAAAAAGTTATTTAGAAATGAACTTAATGAAAAGTGCATGATCTTTACACTGAAAGCAACACTTGCTACTTCGCTAAAATCAAATCCTTCACAGTGTGTTAGAATGGAAAACAGTGCAACCATTTTGGAAGATTAATGAAGCAATATGACTCATAAGTGCTTGTCACCCCTCTTGGTGAAGCTGTCGTATCACTGCACAAGGTGTGGATGACGGGAACATGCAAAGCAAGCCAAACATGGGATCCCACCCCACACTCACAGGGTGAACGCTGCCAAAGACACAGAAGATGCTGGGCATGGCAGATCACACCCGGAATGCCAGCACCCTGAGAAACTGAGGCAGCAGGATCTTAAATCCAAGCTCAGCCTGGACAAGTTAGTGGCTTAGCAATATTCTGTCTCAAAATAAAAATAAAACAAAATATAAAGGGCTACAGAACTGCTCAGGATAAAGGCTTTGGGCTCCATCATAGGACTGGAAAATAAAACAAAACATAGAAGATGAGTTTGTTGATGAAGATGTGGAGACACTGGGTCCTTGTACTCCACCAATAGGATGTAAATGATGCAGCCACTTTGGGAAGCCGTGTGGAGTTTCCTGAAAAATTTAACCACACAATTCAGCCATTTCAATTCTGGATATGCACCCCAAAGAACTGACAGCAGGACACCAGGAGCCGCATGTCCACTCAGTTTCATAGAAGCATTATGTGCAATAGGAAAAGGTAAAATCAACCAAGTGCCCTTGTGTAGACAAATGGATAAAAAAAATGATGCCTATCCATTGGTGGAATGTTATTCAGTCATCAAAAAGGAGGCCTTGACACATATTACGACATGGATACACCCTGGGGTCAGGAAATTAAATAAAGCACAATGAATACTGTGTGGTTCCACGTTTGTGAGCCCCCAAGAGAACTCAAGGTCATAGAGACAGCTGAGTTTAAGGGCTGGGGGTTAGTGTTTAATCAGCACAGAGTTTCTATTTGCGAAGAGGAAAAAGTAACAAAGGGATGGTGGTGAAAGTTACACTATAATGTGAATGTAGTGAATGCCACCAAACCATGCAATTAAAAATGGTTAAAGCACCAGGAGTGGTGGCACACACCTGTAATCCCAGCACTCGGGAGGCTGATGCAGGAGTATCTCCCTGAGTTCCTGCCCAACCTGGGCTACATGCCTGCCCAAACTATGTAGTGAGACCCTGTCTCAAAAAAAAAAAAAAAAAAGGATAGGGAAGTAGGGAAATGGTGTTCAAAGGGTAAAAGGACTCAATTAGACATCTGAATTTTAAAGTGTGGAAGATGGTAAATTTTCTGTTATATATATTTACCTAACTATTTTCCAAAAAAGACTTGGTGAAAAAAGACCTGGAAATTCAGACTAGTGGGAGATTGGGGCTACTCTTGCAAATGACTTCTATCACCTGTATTCTAAGCTAGGCTCTTCCTTGGCCTCTCTGGGTACCAATGACATTGTCTCTAGACTGAAGTGAGCATCATACTCCTGGCCAGGTGTGAGACTGAGGGAAAATAGAATTGACACCCCTGAATGTGTACCTGGCCACGTCTTCTCTCTCCATCTCAAGTGGGAAGAAAATGTCACCCCAATCACTAAGCCCAGGACTTTGCAGTCACAGCTATAGATGTGAATGCCAACTAGTAAAAGAAAAGAGAAATCTCAGCGTGGGGCAGTGTCTAACGAGCAAAATACCTTCACCAAAAGGACAACAAAATCTGAGGGTAACTGAAGTTGTGCTGCACCTAATGGAGAAAACCCCTCCGTTCCCAAATTAGAATAGACTTGGGACTGCACCCACCAGATAAAAATCGTTTTCTTCCTGACTACTGGAAAAATTCTGGGCCACAATGAAGTCTAACAATTCAAAGGACTGGCTGGAGTGCTAGGGGGGAATGTGCTCTACCACTGAGTTGCAAACCCAGCCCAAAGAAAATTCTGTAACAAGAGCTGGATCAAGCTTTATCAGGACCCACTTGTTGTTTTTGATGCTGAGGATGGAACCCAGGGTCTTACACGTGCCAGGCAAGCGCTCTACCCATGAACCACACCCCACCTCCTGGGATCGTGAATACTTTGTGCTCAAGAGGTAATTGGACCCAGTGCAAGACTTTTCCACTTTTCTCCAGATAAACTTGGAGGGGCTACTTAGTGGGTCTCACTACAATCTCCCAAGACAATGAGCATCCCTCCAGTCCTGCTTTGTACTTTATTTTTTACATAAAGTATACCCCCACCCTCACGTTTGATTTCCACTTGTTTGCTTAAGAAGCCCCATTCAAATGAGTCTTCTCAAAATGACAGTTTGAGCCAGGCCGGCACTGTGACACATTCCTGTAATTACAGCACTGAGGGAGGGTGACACAGGAACAACAGAAACTCTAGTCCCAACTGAGCGCTTTAACAATTTACTAACAACCTGTTTCCAAATAAAAATAATAAAACAATTTAAAGCTGGGAGTGGTGGCGCACACTTGTAATCGTAGTACTGGGGAGCCTGAGGCAGGAGGATTGTTAGGAGATCAAGGCCAGCCTGAACTGCACAGTGAGACCTTGTCTCAAATAAATAAAGACCAGGGATGTAGCTCCACGGTCAAGCACTTGTGGGCTCAATCCTCAGTACTACTAGATTAATTAACTAATTAATTAACTAATGATACGACCGGGGATACAGTGCAAAGTGAGGGCCCAGGGCAATATCCAGTACTACAAGGGGGAAACTGCGCTACAGTGACTTTTTAGTTCACCTAGGCAAGTAACTATCGGGTCTGAAAAGCCACCTCTGGACCTTAAAAAAGCAAGACCCTCTCTACCGGCTTCCTGTAACTGGGAGTCAGGGACCACCGATTACCGCGGCACCCCACCATGATCTGGTGCTCTCTTCCTTGCTATATCGTGGGAACATCCGGGCCACCACGCAATGAAGACAAGCTAGCAAGCGCTTCCCAGGGACTTGCTGTGTGTTGCTCCACAGCGCCACCTCGCGGCAGTATGGAGCCCAGCAAAGCTGTAGATGGACCTTCTGTTTCTTGTTCCTCCTCTGTGGCCTGCTGTAAACCAGCAAGCTTCCTGCTTGCTCAGTCCGCGAGGTCCTGATCTAGTGGCTTGTGGGAGAAGGCGAAGTGATTTCTCTATCTTGTGTGGCGCTTAGGGTCAGAAGCCTGCATATAAAGCTCAAATTTACCCTTGAAAATTCTCTCAAGCATCCTCACTTGGCAGAATTGAGAGCTGGCTACAGCCTGGGTGCTGCACATCCCATGAGGGTCTGCATGCACTACTGGGGCTGCTGTGGACCTTCAGGAATATCCGTGGGAGGTCTGTAGGCCATCGGAGTTGCTCCTGAAGAGACTGGGGCCAGGTCTTCTCCTCTTCCTTTGCTGCTTCCTGGCTCACGATGTAAGTAGTTTTCTCTGCCATGCACCCCTGTCAAGATGTACGGCCCTTTGAGCCACTCCATGTTGGACTTTGCTTCCAGATCCATAAACCCAAATAAAGCTTTTCTCTCTGTAAGTTAGTTGCCCCAAGTACTTCGTTCTAGTGATGGAAAGCTGACAAAGGAAAGAGTTAAGGTATTAAAACTCTCTCCAGCTCTCTCTCTGTCTGATTTGTTGCAAATTAAATGTGCATATCATAACTCAAGTAACTTGTAACATGATATAGAGGAATCATGGATATAATATGTTCTTTAATTCACAATAACAATATGAAGAATGCATTATTATGTCTCATGTGCCTTTTACCAGTGAGGAAACTGAATCTCAGAGAAGGTCCTTACTTTGCCTCAGCTTTTGAAAATGGCCAGTGACCTCTCCCCAGCCCCACTGGGTGCTTAAACAACTCTGCTATCCAGGATGCAAGTTGGTGTCCTACAGCCCAAGCCATCACACAGCTCTCTTAGGCTTAGACCACACCCTCCAGAGGCTGTCTGGCTGGGATAAGTTCTGCGTAGGGTGCAAGAACCAGGACACACCTCTGAGTGGAGATCAAAAGACTATGTTTCTGTAGATGTTCAACAAGTTAAAGACAGGTGGGAACAGACCAGAAAAACATATGTGTTAGCCAGCCTTCCATTACTATAATAAAATATGAGAGATCACCAGGTTGAAAAGAGGAAGGGTTGGGGCTGGGGATTTAGCTCAGTGGCATAAGCACCTGCCTTGCAAGCAGGCAGTCGTGAGTTCGATCCCCGGTACTGATAAAAATGAAAAGAGGAAGGGTTTACATGGTATGGCTCATGGTTTTGGGGGGTTCAGTCTATGGTCAGGTGACCCCATGATGTTTGGGCTGGTAGTGAGGCAGATGTCATGGTGGGAACATATGATGGAAAAGTCTGCTTACCTCCTGGTGGCCAGTAAGCAAAAGAGAGTAGAGGAGTGACTGGGGCCTCAATATCCCTTTCAAGGCCGCACCCCTTATAACCCAACTTCCTCCCACTAGGCCCTAGCTCTTGATGATTCCTCCATCTTCCAACAGTGCTGTTATGTAAAGACTAAGCCTTTAATACATGTGACCCAAACTCTGGTATGGGATAGAGGAACAGGAAGAAATCCTGGGCAGCTCAGCTGTAGGATGTATTCTCAGGGATTACAGAGACCCAGGTATCCTAGGCTAGAGAGCCAGGATAGGGGTGAATGAAAGGTAGCCTGTGTCGTCATAAAGGATGAGCTTGGTAAGGAGGGTAGGACGTGGAAACAACCTGGCCTTTAAAATCTCTGCTCAGGTTGCCTAGCATTCGTGTCACTTGGGTCCTTGATGCAAGTGGAAGTGCCTGCTGTGAGTTCTACCTCTGGGCCTTCACTGATCCTGTCTAAATTCTTCATCTATCAATTCAGCAACCTCAGTGGAAACTGCCACCTTGTCCAAAGAGCTCTGGCAGCAGCTCATAAAGGGTTTCATTTATGCAGCCTGAGTTACATGCCTGTGTCTGACCAATGATAGTGGCCAATATGTAAATTAAACACCACCTCTGGAGAACACTGTAATTGCCAGCTTTTATTACTGTAATGGGATATCTGAGGTGGGCTACTTTATAAAAGGAAGGAGTTTATTCTGGATTCTTGTTTTGGAGGCTGGGCATCCTAGTAGCTTGGCACATGCTCTGCTGAGGACCTCTCAGGGCAGTTTCACATCATGGTTGGCAGAATGTGTGTCTATGTCTCTATTCATGTGTGAGCCTTCCCTCTCTGTTTAAGGCATCAGGATTCATGAGGCTTCACCTGCTGACCTAATCTAATCGCTTCCATAGTCAGGTTAAATCTGCACTTTTTTAATACTGGGAACTAAACTTTAGAGATTAAACTTAAAGTTTGGGGGAACAAGTCACGTTCGGGCCCAGAGGATCCCATAAGCTTGACGTGGGAGACAGCTGGGTCCCCAGAGGGGGACACGGCTGGCAAATCCCCAATGCTCAAGCCCCACCTGCCTAGGCTTCCAGATGTGAGACTTGAATAAATCTGTGCTTTCCTAACAGCAGAGCCACCAAGACCCAGAAGCAGTCTGAGGAACAGCCCCACTCCAATGGGTGTGGTCCCCAAGTGCGACACCACTCTCCCACTGGGATACCTGCTGGGAGAAATGTGCGCGTCTGGCTTGGTCAGGGGGTCAGTATAGCTCTTCCTGTGTCACGCCCAGGTGGGACTCTTTCCCAGGATTGCACAGATTTCTTTCTTTTTTCTAATGTGTCCGATGCCTTTTCAGATCATAGCAATCCCAATTCAAGCTCTTGGGATTCCACTGTACCCAAGGTGCAGTAAAGAGCAGGTCGTCCCGGGCTTCCTTGTATACACATCGTCTGTGCTTCTGCTGCTTCCCTCCTGTTAGCTAGTGTATGTCACACACAATACCTTGGAACACTTGTTCCACGCCACAGCACGCTTTGCTATAAATAAAGTGATATTACAGAAAATCCTTGCATTTAATTTTCTAGCTCAGGAAACTGAGGCTCAGAAAGGGAATTGGACTTGCCCAAGGTCACACAGGAGTAGGAGTGGGTTACACCTGGGCCTCATCCTGCCCCACATCTGTTGTTTTCTCCATCACACTGCCTTCCTCTGAACAGAAAGGGACAGAATTTTCCATTTGGGTTCAAGTCATGGAATGAAATACAGTTGGATTTAAATTTATTTCCTTTTTTTCAGTACCGGGGATTGAATCCAGGGACATCCCCAGTCCTTCTTTTTTTTTTAAATTTTGAAACAGAGTCTTGCTAAATTTCCCAGGCTGTGCTTGAATTTGCGATTCTCCTGCCTCAGTCTCCCAGAGTGCTCAGATTACAGGCACGAGCACCATGCCTGTCCTAAATTTGTGCTAACATCCAACTTTTTTCTTGTATAAGTGTATCCCAGATACTGAATGAAACATACCAAAAAATCGCTTGTTGCTTATTAGACTTCAGTATAACTGAATACCTTGAGCTTTCATTTGCTAACCCTGGCAGTCCTTCCGTGAGGGGAAACTTATGGTCACAGGAACCTAGAGAGGGACAGAGATCTCCCCGAGATGACGCAGGGAGTGGGTGGCAGACCCAGGGCAGTGGGTGGCAGACCCAGGGCTGGGCTTCCCTGGTCCTGGCCTGGTGGGCAGCTGTGTGGACAGCTGTGTGGACAGTTCTGCTGTCCTGGAGTAGGGAGAGGTGATGAGGACAGCTGCTTTCAGTCCCCATAGGCTGCCTACATGTCCTCACCCCTCCCAGCTGTCCTCCTGGGCAGAACTGTGAAGCAAATCCCAGGTGGCGGAGATGGGAGAGCAAGGTCACAGCAGCTGACAGAAGATGGTGTTGATTGAGCTTGCTGCACTGGGAGATGGCTGCTCAGGAAGCAGCTAATTAAGCGAAGACTCCAATTAAGAAACAATTTGCGTATTTGCAGCAGAATCCTGCAGCCACCCAGCCATGGCAGAGAGCTGCAGGGGTTCACTCTTTGCTCCTCTCAAAGGAACCTCACCACGCCGCCACTTTCAGGGCTGTGAAATGAGGGTGTCGAGGGTGTCGTTGGTATTGAGGGGCCCTCTGGCCTCAGAGTGGGCCATGCCGGATAGAGGGAGGCTCTTTGCCTCCACGTTGCAAGCATTAATGTCTCCCCCCAGCTCCGTCTGTGTTCCACTGAGGGCCATTATGCTTTTGGTTCTAGGGGATTTGAGTCCTAGTCTATGGAGCAGCTGTGCCTGCATTGTCTTGTACACCCCAGTTTCATTTCTCTTTCTGGATCCCATTCCTCTAGGGTAACAGACCAAGGATTCTCCACTTTCTGCACCCAAGAAGGGCCAGGTGTGCTGTTGAGTCATGTGTGGGCTGAAGTCAGCACCCTCCACTGAGATCACCTCGGTGCCCTCGGGGCCTCAGGAGTGGTTCTTGCTGATTGCCATCGAGACTGCAGTCCCATCTGCTGAGGATGTGGCTTGAGGTAAACGATTGCAGTAATGAACTCGATAATTCTTCCCTTGCTGTAGTCACATCCCTCACTTGTCTTCTCCTTCCCTACTGGATGCAGGCCTGCCCTTGTGACTTGCTTTGACAAATGGAATTGTGGGAGAGTTAACCCAGACTGAAGCTTGAAAATGCCCTTGGTGAATGTGGCTTTGTCTCTTGGAATCCATGAGGACGTATCTGGGTCAGCATGTCAGAATGATGTAAGAGACACAGGTTAATGGAGTACTAACCCAGAAGGTTGAGTTGTCCCAGCCAAGGTTGACCCCACAAGTATTCAAGTACCATGCAGGCAATAAGATCACCTAGCAGGCCAAAGAATATATAAAGAACAGTAAATGTTTTCATTTTAAACTTTAAGTTTTTGGGTTATTTGTTATGCAGCAATAGCTAACTGATACATGGATTTTTTCCACTCCAGTATTTCTGCCCTTTTCCTAGCTTCTCCTAGGTTGCTGAGCATGTATAATATGCACAGGAGAAGCTCTGCTATCACAGAGGTTTGTAATCCAGACTGCAGAATGTCCTATCATGTGGAAGTGGGATAGGTTTTCTCATGATGTTCTTGGAAATATAAACAGTTTATTATTTGTAAAGTATCATTTGATAAGGTACATCAAAAGCTTTTGAATTGTTCTCATTCTTAATTCAATCTAATGAAATAATATGAAGTTCAAAGGGGAAATATTTAAGAGATGTTGTTTTGCTATGTTGACCTGAACTGGCTAGCAATCCTTTTGCCTCAGCCTCCCTCAGACTATAAGTATGTACCATCTTATCTTACTTTGGGGAAAAAAATCTCCCCATACAAAAGGCTAAACCTTTGTATGGGATTTAAAAAAATTGTAGTGTATTTTATACCACTGAAAAATTATAACACATCTAAATGTCCAACAATATAGTTAAGTAAATGATTATATATCCAGTTTTTGTATTATGTACAATCATTTAATACAATGTCTACAAGCGATTTATAACCAACACAGGGAAATCTTTGTACTAGGCTCTTAGAGAAAAAAGCATTTTATAAAGTTGTATAGGATGCAATCTCATGTATTAAAAAGTGAGGAATGATTTGATTAGAGGTAGTTGATTTGGTGATAGAATTATGACTAATGTTTTATATCATTTATTTATGTTTCTGGGTTTTCCTCATCTTGTATGAGCATGTGTCTTTTACATAATCTGAAAAAACCTTATTTACATCCGTTAGTGCTGGGATTATTTTTGAGCTGGCAGGAAAGTGCAACATTCTTGCTTAGAAGTTAATACAGAGGACTGGTGAATAACTTCAAGCAGTGGAGGAGGTTGGATCCCAAGCAGGTAACATTTAGGTCACAAAGATTTATCCCTGCAGAAAGCTACTGTCATCCCCAGAGACAAAGAAAGGCATGGGGGTGCCCAGGAGTTGAGGGTGTCTGAAAGGAGTCAGAGTCATGGGACAGAGCTTCTTGGTAGGATCTGGGGCCATCAAAGTTCCCTTGGGGACCCAGGGGAAGTGAAAATGTCACCAAGAGAAGACAAGACAGATTGCTTGCCCCCACTTTAAGTCTATACTCTTTTCCTGTAAGAAAATTCTCTTCCCTCTAAATTGTCTGCCCATACTGTTTCCATAAGGGACACTTACGTGGACACTTATTAACCCTAACCATGCTTCCTGGAAATAAGGGAGTCAGTCCATCTACTCACTCAGCCTCTGGGACCAGACCGGCTTCAAATGCAATGGAACCATGGGGACCCATGTTGTCCTTTAGTCAAATTCTTATCCTTTCCTGCCATGACTATTGATGATCACCATACTAATGACCAGAAGAGGGTGAAAAGCAGTGACACCTAAATCCTTGGGAAATGTCTATCCATTCCTACAAACCCCACGCATATTCCTTTCCTCCATTTCTTATCATCCTTTCATTTTGCATAACATCTCTGTAACACTGAGGAAAATTATGGATGTGATACAATTTTGGCAATTCATGAACGAGTATCCTAAGATGGAAACCATGGATTGTGGCGCCCACCAAAGGCTTGGCATCCCCGGGACTCATTCATCTGGAAAGAACCATGTCTAAATCCTCACAGTATAGTCAAGAGCCTCCATGATTCCTCAGTAGATGCCATACTTTTTGACCACAGTGGTCACACTTTATTTGACATTATTCTCTAGATTTTGGATGCTGAGAATTGAACCCCAGGCTTCACACATGTGAAGTGTGCCATTCACTACTGACTAATTGGCAGGCAGTGGCATCCTTAGGTTGTGGAGCCTCTGGGAAGGAAGTTGGGATATTGGGGTGCTCAACTCACCCTCAATGAGGTCTATACTGCCCAAGATCCTCCTGTTCCTCTTTCTCTTTGCTTCCTGGTTACCATGAGTTGAGCTCATTCCCCACCATGACGTGCTGCCTTTCTACAGCACCAAAAAACAGTGGTGCCTACTGGTAGCTGAAACTTAAATCTGTGAACAAAAACAAACTTTTCCTTTTTTTTTTTTTTTTGATACCAGGGATCAAACTCAGTGACCTTGCACTTGCCAGGCAGCTGCTGTGCCTCTGAGCTAAATTCCTGGTCTACCTCTCCTGTTTTTAAGTTGATCATCTCAGGTATTTATTACAGTAACAGAAAGTGAACACATCTGTGACTATTGTAAAATACCATGCATGAAATCAAAAGACATGTCAAACAAAAAATACATGCCTAAAACATATGTCAGAAATAGACTAAATTTTCTCCATCAACAAAGAGCCCAAATCTACAGGACACAGGCAGACAACTTAACAATAAAACAAGCGGTGGTTCTGAATAATTCATGAAGTTGCTCAGCTCCATCAAAATAAAAGAAATTACTTATTAAAACAACCAGGAGTTTGGGTGTGTACCCAAGAGAAAAGAAAACCTGTGGCCATACAGAAACTTGCTCATGAATATTCATAAGCAGTATTATTCATGATTGCCAAAAACATAACAGAAATATCCATCAACTAATGACAGATAGGTAAACAAAATGTGGCTTATTCATATAATGCAATGTTCTTTGGCTATAAACAGGAATAAAGCAAGGTGTAGTGGTACCCATCTCTAATCCTAGAACTCTGGGAGACTGAGGCAGTAGAATTACAAGTTTCAGCACAGTCTGGGTACCTTAATGACTTAGGAAAACATTGTGTCAAAAATCAAATTAAAAAGTGTCTGAGAATGTTGTTTGGTCAAAATACCTGGGTTCTATTCCTAGTACCAGACACAGACAGATAGACAGACAGACAGACAGACAGACACACACACACACACACACACACACACACACACACAATCAAGGGCTGATATGTGCAGAGACTTGGGCATCATCTATAGAATTTGGTACCCATGGGGTTCTTGGATACAAGGTAACCTGTGTATTGCTCATTCTTGATATTAAAAAATACTGAAGTATAAATTTTTTGCTTTCCAAATCAGCAAGATGTGTAAATAATGGCTCAGAGAAACCAAGCTTCTCACACATGTTGATAAAAGCATAAAAATGCATCGCCATTTGGAAGAGCACTTTGGCCATATCCACCGGATTGAGCACTTCTAGCTGACCCTAGGAAAATGCTTGCAGTGTATCCCGCAGTACCAAGGCTATGATGAGGCACTGTAAGAACAAAGAAACTGGAAGTAGAGGATGCAATCACGGGATGGAATAAAGCACAGCCATTGAAAAGAAGGAAGTAGATTAGGCCATGATGATGCAGAAAGATCTGCAAAGATGTATTTTGGTTTTTTCTTTGTTTGATTGATGGATTGGTTCATTTTTGAGATAAGGGCTCATTATGTAGTCCAGGCTGGGCTTGAACTCATGTCTATCCTTCTGCCTCAGCCTCCCGAGTGCTGTGATTATGGGTGTGCACCACCTCACCTGGCTAGGATGTTTAGATGAAAATGTAGTCTGGTACAATGATACTCATTCTCACATTATCTCCTTCATGTCCCCTCACCTCTCCCCTGCCCCAAGGTCTCATGCAAGCTGGCAAGCGCACTAGGGCTAGACTGGAACTTGCAATTTTCCTGCCTCAGCCTCCCAGTGTGAGGATTAGAGGCATGCATCAGTACCACTGGCTCTGATTCTCTTTTTATAGGTAAAAATGCTCTTATGCCAATGTAATCAAGAAGGAAATGCAGAGCAATGATCTCCAGGGAGAGCAACTGCAGTAGGAAAGAAGGTTGTAGTTTTCATTTTATGATCTTTGGAAGCGTTTGCATTTTCTCAGCATATGCATTAAGTTTATTTTAAAAATGCCACTGGGATCATCTGTGTGGTGGTATCACAAGCCATTTTCATTTTCTTTACACTTTTCTGTATCAAAAAAAGAAAATCTTTTAATGTCTGGTGGTTTCTGGAGGAATGTGTCTCAGCTTTCTGTGCACCTGCACTGCTGTTCCCAAGGGACTCGAATTACAGCCCACTGCCTGCCTCTCCAGGCCTCAGTTTACCTTTCTCAGGAGATGGCAGCAGGACAGGGAGGTTTGTGCATATAGGGCATGGTTGCTGGTTCTGGGAGACTGAGGGACTGAGGCTGCCTTGTGTAATTCCCACCTTTCATCCGCATGGGCAACCCTGCGGGCCTGCAAGCATGTGGTGTGTATCCCAGGAGATTGAGTCTGTGCTTCCAAGTCTGTCCGCATGCTTATATATCCGGGCTTTATGCATGTGACAGACACCAAAGCTTCTCTTGCCTGGGACTCTTGCAAGCTCTCCTTTTTTATTTAATTAGTCAGTCATTTTTTGGTGCTGGGGATCAGACACATACACTTGTGTGTGATAAACCCGTGTTCTGCCACTGTACTACAGCACCAGCCCTCTATTGTCATTTTCTTTCTTCCTGTCTTCTTTTATTGTGTTTTGAGACAGTCTCACTATGAAATCCAGACTGGCCCTGAACTCATGGTAATCACCCCACCACAGCCTCCAAAGTGCTGGGATTATAAATAGTACCATGCCCAAATGTATTCATATTTTAATATGTAGTTTTTAAATCCCTTCTCCCTCATTCACTATATGTCAGGCCCAAAGAACCTGAATCTGTCCTTGGTGAATTTCCACTTCAGTCCATGCCTATACCATGCCTTCCTCTCTCCCCATATGCCTTTCCTTTCCTTCCCCTTCCTTCCTTTCTATCTTCCTTTCTAAGGAAGGAGCATAGCTATGATGACATTTAGGATTTAGGGGCATCCCATGTACATTTGGGAACAGTCAGAGACATGGAGGCTGGAAGCTGGACAGGGTTGGTCAATGCTGGTACTGGGGCTTGGTGGAGGCTGGAAGCTGGGCAGGGGTGGTCAATGCTGGGACTGGGGCTTGGTGGCATGCTCTCTGGCAGCTTGTGACTTTCTGTAGTGTGGGCATCTGTGTGGTACATGGTGTTGTGCTGTGTGGCACGGTAGGGAGCATGAGTCCCTTGCGTTGTGCTGCTAAGGACAGCCTGCACCTGCATGTGGTGTGGTTGTAGCTGGATGCACCGTAGCTTATGAGGTCCCTTAGCCACGGAACCCCTGGGGGCAGCCTCAAAGACATAGCAAACTGCTTGTTGCCAGGAGCCCAGCAGGGAGGAATGATGTCATCCTTGGGAGGCCTTGCAGGACTATCTGACTAAAGCTGGGGCTTCTGCAAGTTCTGCCCAGGTGCTCTTGTAGATACAGTGACTTTTGGTTTCTGGAATCATCAACTAGTCACCAGTGTGGACCAGCTCCTTGGCTGGGGTATCCATGGTAAGCAGACATGGCCAGGACTAAGCATCAGGTTCCCATGGTGATGAGTTGCCATGGTGACCACTAGAGTTCCCAGTTCACAACACCTTTTTGCAGGTGGGAACAGAAGCAGTGGGAACAAAAGTTTTGGGAATAGAAGGCAGGTTCAAAGAGGGCTGCAGGAAGCTCTAGAGTTATTCTTTGCTTACTTCTCACCTTGTAGTACTCATCTATGTATTAGTCAGCTTTCCATTATTATAACAAATACCTGAGATCATCGGCTTTTAAAAGAAACAGTTTATTTTGGCTGGCAGTTGTGGAGGTTCCAGGCCTTGGTCTCTATTTTGGGGCTGCATTGAGGCAGTAGAAGCAAAATTGCTCAGCTCATGACCAGAAAGTAAAGGCAGGAGGACAGATTCTGCACTCCTCTTCAAGGCCACACCACCATGACTTCACTTCTGCCCACCAGGCCTCTGATAATGCCACAGATCAAGTTTTTAGCAAATATTGGATCTATGCCTTTGTTATTCATACATTATTATGTATTCAGTAGTTACTATTATACGCCTTTCAGAAGAAGTGTTATATTTGGATTTTTTTGCGTCTTTCTTTCTTAGTCACCTTCTTGTTATTGAGACACAATATGCAACACCCACAATTTAAAGGAGGAGAGATTGATTGTGGCTCCCACTCTTGATCCATAGTTGCCTGGCTTAGTCAAGAAGGCATGGTGGAAGGGCTCAAGGCAGGGCAGCAGGGAAGCTGAAAGAGGGGAGAGAGGGAGGGAAACCCTTCCAGGCCACATCCCTGAGTACCAGCCTCTCCTGACCACGGCCTCCTAATAGCAAGCCAGCAGTCAGCCTCCATAATCCAGTCACTTTCTAAAATCCCCATCTAGGAGCACGTAAAATTCTGGCTGGACATTTAGATACAAACCCTAACACTCTCTTTCTCTGCCTCTCTCTCCCTCTCTCTCTTTCTCTGTCATCAGTGATAGCGAGTGAACCTGGAAAGGGCTGAGTTCTTTTTACTTTGGAGATAGGGTTTCAGGCTTGGGTTCACAGACATGCTAGAATGCTGTCACAGAAGCCCCAAACTCAGTGGTCGAAGTCACATAGCTTCTTGCTCAAACATGCCAGAGCATTGGCAGCTGGCTGGAGTGATGGTTTGAAGATGTCTCCAAACCCTTCTGGGCTCCCAGACCACTTTCCACTTAGCTACCAAGACAAAACTGAAGTCCAATCTTCTGGCTTCAGTCTCACTTTCTGGTCCAGGGGGCACCAGACCCTCATTGTCCCAACAGAGGGTCATCTGTGTGACTTTCTAATCCCTTGAGCAAGTTTGCTAAGGCCAAGTCTGTGCTCATTCAGTCACAAAAATACTGGGCTCTGAGTGTTCTCTCTTGTGTTATTAAATACTAATTTTTCTTTTGTAGCTATTGTTCACTCTGTCTACATCTTGAGGCAACTTATGCACCCTGTTGTGCCTCTGTACCTTCTTCTATAAAATGAGGAACACCATAGTTTACTCCGTAGAGTTGTTTAGAATGGAGCCCAGCAAAACTGGCACTGTCTCAATAATAACTAGTGTTATTTCCTGCCTCTCCCAAAGTCCCTGTCAGCTAAGTGAGTGGCTTCACTTCATTTTCAGATGCACAAAATGGAAGGACCAGTACTTGTAATTCCAACACCTGGGAGGCTGAGGCAAGAGGATTGCTGGGTGTCTGAATCCAGTCTGGGCTAGGCTGTCAAGAACAGCCTGAACTACATAGCAAGAGACACTGCCTCAAAACAAAATAACGAAAGGAGGAAGAAATTGGAAGGGCCAGAAAACTAAAGCAACTTGAAAAAGTTCCCTGGCAGGTAGCCCAGTCTGACTTTAACGCATGCCTGGACTTTGTGATAAAATTAGGGTGATGTTGGCCTTCCTCATAGAGTTACCGTGTGAGACTCAATCGCATCCGAGTGGCGGGCTGTCTTTAGACACTCTGCTTTTTCTTGTCTTCGAGGCCCTGCCTTGCCACCCTGGTTCCCAGCAGCCCTGTCCCTGGCTGCCCTCTCTGGTCAGCTGCTTTCGTTCTGGTGGTGAGGACAGCTGGGCAGACAGAGCTCCATTGTCTGTGTCCTCTGATCTCTTTTGTTGAAGCCCCTTCCCAGGTGCCAGCCCTGCAGACACCCATAGAGGCCCTGGAAGTAATAGGGAAGCCCAGACGGGAGCGTGCAGGTATCCCGTGTACCTGAAGATCGGGTCAGCAAGCCTATTCTACAGTTGAGGAAACTGAGGCTCGGAGAGTGGGGGGTGGGCGTGTATGTCTCACAGCAGAGCTGTCAAGGATAGGACAGGCGGAGGCTGAACCCAGGACGGCGCTCAAGACCCCAAGACTAGTGACGTCGTGGCTCACATTAGGTCAGAGACAGCAAGATCAGGACAATCCCCATAGTCCTCCCGTTTTATTGATGGACCCAAAAACTCTGAAAATGCCAAAGGTCACACAGCGAGCCTGGCTCTCCCGCCTCTGGAGGAAAACTACGGGTTTCTCACTCCCAGTGCTTCCTAGTCCATAACCAGTTGGAGGAACAGGGTGGGCGTTCCGGAAAAGGCACAGCGTGGCCACGCCTCCTGGGCGGGGCCACGCCGTACGTCCCTCCCCGGTGCGACGCGCCTCGGTGAAATCCCCCAAGGTCTCCCTTCGAGCGGCGTGGCTTTCCGAGCCCGGTGAGATTCCACTGGATATTGTCTGCGGCGGGCGGGACTTTGAGCTTGATGGACGCCGGGGGCAGGGCCTTCTTTCGGCAGGCGAGAGGATTCCGTCCTTCTGTGACGCAGGCGCAGGCGCGGGAAAGGGGGAGCCTGCGCTGGCGGGCGGAGCTCCGCCCCCAGTGGAGGCGGCCGGGGCGGGGGCGTGTCCGGGGAGGGGAGGGCCGCCCGGCCCAAGCACATCCCGGCCCAATCCCCGCCCCGCCCAGTCGCCGAGCTGCAGCCAGCGCCAGGAGGTCCGGCCCCGGGATGTGAGTGTCGAGGGGTTGGGGCAGGGGCGCCAATCTCTATCCCAGGGTCCCGGAGGTTCCCGCGGGAGGTGACTGGGGATGGTGGGCCGAGGGGCACCCCGCTGGTTACAGGGAAGGCCCGGATCTGGCGGGCACTGGCGACCCTCGCGGATCTGAAGCCTCCAGGTTCGGGTCGCGGCCGCGGCGCTGGACGCTCCCACGTTTCACAGTGGGGGACCTGAGGCCTGGGACCATGCAGCCGCTACTGCCGTTGTTGTGTAGAGGTGTGGAGCTGGGGCCTTGTTGCCAGGCTCACCTAGAGTGTGACCTTGGGCACATCTGGTTCCTGGTGTCACGTGATGCCATAGGAGTGCCACAGGGCCTTTGCTCTCTAGAGCATCCACAGTGAGCCAGGCCAGAGTTGGGTGCAGGGAAACCCTGTCAGGGCCCACTGAGGAGCTGTATCGGTTCTTGTTGCTGCTCATGACCCATTTTTGAGGCAAAGGGAGTGGGCAGCCTGGGTCAGTGTAGCAGAGGCAGCTTTCTCCCTAGAAGCCGCCCCCATCTGAGTCTCTTTCCCCATACATCCCGTAGGCCACACGCCACCCAGCTGTACCAGCATGTGCCAGAAACTCGTTGGCCCATCGTGTATTCACCCCGCTACAATATCACCTTCATGGGCCTGGAGAAGCTGCACCCCTTCGACGCTGGCAAATGGGGCAAGGTGATCAGTTTCCTAAAAGGTAGGCAGCCCCCTCCTCTGCTTCCCGCAGCCCACCCGCCCACCCCCAGCCTCCCCAGCCTCCCCAGCCTCCCCAGCATCCCCAGCATCCGATCCTCTTACCACAGCTTTCAGCTTCAGACTGCCTTCTGTACCAGCTGTCTGTTCAAGGATCTTCCCAACACAGATTCCTCATCGTGGAGTGACCCTGCCTGTCACTACTTCTGGCTCTGTCACTGTGGGCAGAAGTTCTGACTCCATCCTTAGAGACCCAGTTGATGGGGAGCAAGCATCCAGACAGTAGGGAGCTTTTGTTACAACCCTTTTGGTTATAAATGGAGAGTTTGAGGCCCAGAAAGTTTGGAAAGCCACACTGCTATTCCAGGTTCCCCCATCCATGGCTAAATTCTCAGTGCTGGTCTGGGGAGCACATCATTATAACACCTGGGATTTGCTCTGGGTAGAAGGTTCAGGTGTTGCTGTTGTGTGTGTGAATGTCCTCTGTGTTTCTTAAATCACGGGCCCTTTAATTGAAAGAAGCAAGAAAATGTTACCTGACACTGGATGAAACACTGAATATTTTAAAAGCACAGTCACCTTCTGATCACTCCAAGGAGAGCTAGCCCATCTTTAACACCTAAATCCATCCTTCCTTTTTTCTTTTTAATCATCTGTACTGGGGATCGAACTCACGACCGCCTGCTTGCAAGGCAGGTGCTTATGCCACTGAGCTAAATCCCCAGCCCCCATCCTTCATTTTGAACAGCTCCAGAGTCAGCCTCAAGCTCTGCCTGTGTCTTCCAAAACATGGGGTTAGGTTGGAGACTGATAGCACCAGTTGTTTCCATTGAGTTTGTTTTTTGTTTCTGCTTAACTTCTACTTATGGCAGGGAACACTGATTTTCTACTCATAGTAGTGACCAGAGTGAGCTTTCAAAGAGCATAGGAAGTAGAGCGATGCTCAGAGGCTCCATGGTGGGCAGCCCTGGGGATGCGAATGCAGGACCAGCCCACTTCCTGTCTCCAGTCCCTCAGCCCCTGGGCACCATGGGTTGCTTTGCGCAGTGCCCTACACCATTCCCTGCTCTCAGCCTCAGTTTCTTTTGCACAATGGACCCAGGCTTGTCTGGTATCCATCAGGGATAGGGAATAGTGTCTCAAACATAAGTGCAAACTGTTCTTGGGACCTTGCTGTCCCCTCATATCACCTGTTTTTATATGACTTAGCCTCTAGAATTTTTAATGACTTAGCCTCTAGAATTTATTTTAAAACAACCTTAAATTTGATTTAAAAGGAAGCATTATATCAGCTAAGTGGGAAAAGGTAGTTTCATTGGCCATAAATAGAAGGGCATAGTAAAAAAAAAATAAATGAATGAATAAAGGCAATGAAAACAGCAGTGTAATTCAATCCTGGCAGGTTACTGTTGTCAGCAGGCCTTGGGACCTGCTCAGAGCAATGATAGATGATCAGTGATTGATGATTGGGTCTGGCAGATATTGGGCTCCAAATTTCCCGTGATGTCATCAGAAGGTGGAGGGAGAATTTTGAAGAAGAGTTTTTTCTCACCACAAGAGTCCCAACCATTGACCCTTATGCCACCTGCCACCTGTGTCAAAGCCCGTGGGCTGTCTGGCTTGGGAAGCATGAGGATTGCTGTGGGCTCAGTGCCTCCTGGGGCACTGAGTCTTAGCACATCAGCTAAGACTATTCTGCTTTTGCTTACTTTTATATTGGGCTGAAGTTTAAGATTCTGTTCCACTGACTATTCTGACTTGTTGAAAACTGTTGGGTTAAAAACAAGCTTGAAATCTGCCCCCAAGGCCCTGGGCTCAGTGCCTCCTGGGGCCAACGGTGGCTTGGAAGGCAGCCTGTTGTCAGCACATAGTGCCCCCCTCCTCCTTGGGCAGGGGCCGCCCCATGCTGAACCTCCAGCTACAGGTGGGGCTGGGACTGGGTGGGCCTGCTGTCAGTGGGGGCCACTGAGAAAGAGGAAGCAGGCTGCTTTGTGCTTGCAGAAGAGAAGCTGCTGTCAGATGGCATGTTGGTGGAGGCGCGGGAGGCCTCGGATGACGACCTGCTGGTAGTGCACACCAGGCGGTATCTCAATGAACTGAAGGTACGGGGGCTGCGGCAGGGGACCTTGGCTGGGGGTCAGAGCAGCTCAGCCCAGGAATGCCAGGGATGCCACCTCTGTTCCCAGAGCGGGGGTACTTAGGAGTCTCTGTTTCCCAAGAGAAGGAGACAGGAATCATATAAAGGCAGCTCTGTGTAGGTAGTGAGCTCCCTGTCTTCAGGGGCTGTGCTTTGGTGGCAACAGAAGCAACTTCTGGGTTTCAGGCTTCTACATGAATGACATTTTCTTCCTGTGAGATGGGATCTGACTGTTGCCTAGGCTGGTCTTCAGCAGGACTCATGCAGCCCTGCCTCAGCTTCCCTCCTAAGTCCTGGAGCTGTAGAGCTCACACCTACCACATCAGTTGTAGCGGCACATCAGTGACTTTGAATCTGTGCTCTGTGGCCTCAGAAACCCCTGCTGGGTGACCAAAGCTGGGAGAGGGGATCCTGGCCCTGGCCCCATCCAGCTAAGACTATTCTGCTTTTGCTTACTTTTATATTGGGCTGAAGTTTAAGATTCTGTTCCACTGACTGTTCTGACTTGTTGAAAACTGTTGGGTTAAAAACAAGCTTGAAATCTGCCCCCAGGGTTTGGCAGGGACCCTACAGAAGTGGGTAAGCAGGTGGGGCAGCCTAAGGTGAACTGGGGAACCCCTCTCCTTCCCAGGTGGTCTTGGCTAGTCCCAGCATTCCAGAGCCACTGGCTTCCAAGATAAGCCGGAAAGTCTGATTATTAAATGACTTTTCTGTATTTATTTATTTATATATTTGGTATAGGGCCTTTGTACTGGTTTCATGTGTACCCAGCGCTATTTTAAAATGTTGAAACAGGTCTTGCTGAGTCGTTCAGTTGTGCGGACTAGGCTGCTACTTGCAATTCTCCTGTTTCAGCTTCCCAGAATACTGGGGTTACAGGTGTGTACCACCACACCTGGCCCCATTTTCTGATTTCTTGTCGTGGAAACTCATCTTAAGATTTCCAATCCCATTTGCACCCCAAATTGGGCCCGCCAGGTACTTGCTGGTGACCTCTTTGTAGAGGAGACCACAGTGAGAGGGCTGATGGCTCAGTTCATCCCTTCTGTGGGAGCAGAGGTTGCATCACACTACAGTGCTGCCAGTCTGGCCCAGGGGGACAGTGTCCAGGATGCCCCAGGTTCTCTGTTCCCTGAATGGAGTAGGGGCAGGGTAGGGCCTGACCTTAGTATCCTGGCCTAACTCACAGTAGGTGCCAAGGTCCACAGCTCCCTTCCTGTAGGAGTAGACAAGCCCTGGACCTTGGGCATCTGTGGGGTTTGGGAGAGAGCCTGGTAGAGCTCCATCCATTATCCCAGCTTCCTGGTCTCAGGTGGCTGGTCCTTAGCACCAGGCCTGAGCCATGAGGGCTGTAGATAGGGCCACATAGCACCAGCCCAGGAGCAGTTGCCAGGAGGTGCAGCCTGCCCCAGGGAGTGTGTGCAGTGTTGGCAGGAGGCCCGGGCTTGGCTGCCCTGGTTTCCTGGGGCCAGGCATGTGTGGTCACAGACCACAGCAAGAGCCAAGCCAGGAGGACCAGCCTGCCAGAGTTCAGGGGGAAGGGCGCACAGGGATAAGGCTGAGGGGATTGGCTCCAAGGCCCCCAATGCCCTTTAGGGCTCCCTGCCTGCTTGGACTTAGTCCTCAAAGGCTTGAAAATAGCTTATTGTGTGATAAGTAATAATGTTTTTTAAAAAGCATTAACAGAGTCCCAAGTAGAAAACAGGTCAAGGGTGGGAGGGGAATTCAGATACATCAACTCAAAGTGTTAACAAAGAGATTATGATAGAGCTTTGCATTTGGCTAGGAGCTCCCTGGCAGCTGGAGCGAAAGGAGAAAAGGATTTCTGTAATACCTGCTAAGACGAAGGAGCAGTCATTCAGCACAGCTACACTGAATGCCAGGTGCGTCCTGAGGACTAAGAGAGCAGTGTGCCAGCAAGCTTCCCTGCTCCGCGGCTTTGCGTTTTAGTTGTGGATAATGGAAAATAAAACAGCCACAGGAAAGCACTTCTGGCAGCTCAAGGGTGAAGAATCTCAGACAGCCAAAGAAAGGACAGAAACTGGCTGGAGCCAGTGCGGCTGGGGGTGGGGCACGTAGTCGTGTAGGTGCGCAGAGTTGGTCCCGCTGAAGCTGGTGGGTGAGGACCAGGACCCGTGAGCACGAGGATGCGTTCTGGGTGCCATGGGGCTGGAATAGGACAAGGGAGACCCGGCCCTGACGGAACTGGAGCCTATTGGGGGGAGCAGATGAGCACAAGACGACAGGCAGGGTTAGAAGGGGGAGATCCTAAGGCCGGGAGGGGAGGAGGCAGTGGGGAAGAGCTGGGGGATGCAGCCGCAGGGAGCTCCTGATCCTTGCTTAAGGGTGAGATGAGAGCCCCAGGACAGGAGGTAGCATGGACCTCAGAGAGAGGGGCAGGCCGAGGGGGAGCTGCTGCGCAAAGGCCCCGGGCAGGGATATCTCCAGTGTGAGCAGGATTCAGATCCCACAGCTCCCAGAGGCCAGAAGTCGCTGCAGAGACGGGACAGTAATGAGAGCCTGGGGTCTCTGCCTCTGACTTAACTGTGTCTCTTTAAAGGCCCTTATCCCATTAAACAACAACAACAAAAACAAAAACAAAATAAAAAACGGTGACAAAATTCATATAACACAAAGTTAGCCATTACCCAGTTTAAAGGGGACAATTCAGGGACCATTAATCCACTCATACTTTGGTACAACTGTCACTTCTGTCTACTTCTGAAATGTTTTCGTCACCCCTAAAAAGGAAGACCTATTCTTACTATGCAGTGGCTCTCTTGACTTCCCTCCCCTGCCCCAGGAATGGGTCCATCTGCATTTTGTCTTTGTGGGTTTGCCTTTTCTGGGTGTTTTGATCAAGTGGAATCATGTAATATGTGACATTTTGTGATGGTGTCACTTAGCATAATGTTTTCAAGGGTCACCCATGTGGAGCATATATCTGGACGTCATTCCTCTTCGTGACTGAACAATAGTCCATTGCCCGTGCATACTCATTATTGGACAGGCACAAAAGGAGTTGTTTCTACCTTTTGGCTCTTGTGGATAGTGTTGCTATGGCCGTGTATGTACCGAGTATTTATTTGAATATCTGTTCTGAGTTATTTGAGGTCTAAGCTAACAAGCACAATTGCTGGGTTATATGGCAATTTCTTCTAAACAATCATCAAAATGATTGTCAGAGTTTGCATTATTCCCCCTGGCAGTATACCAGTACTCTAATTCCTCCACATCCTTGGTCACCTTTTGTAATTTTATTTTTGCTAAATAAATATAATCAGCTTAGTGGTGTGAAGTAGTTTCTAGGGATTTTGATTTGCATTTCTGTAAAGGCAGTGACAGCACAGTTGGGAGGGGATTGTTGACAATTAATGCATCTTTGAAGAAATGTCTGTGTAAGTCCTTTGCCTATTTGAAGAGTTGGATTGTTTTTTATTGTTGAGTCGTGGGAGTTTTTTATATGTTATGGCTGTTACATGACTTGCAAATTTCTGTCATTCTGTAAGCTGTCTTTGTGCTCATTTGGTGGTGTTCTTTGATGAACAAATTTTAAAAATTGTGCTGAGGCCCAGATCTTTTTTCTTTTGTTGTTTGTGCTTTTAGTGCCATGTTTAAAAATTGATTCCCAGTTTCAGCGTCATGGCTGTTTAGCCCTATGTGTTTTTTTTAAAAAAGCTTTGGGGCTGGGGATTTAGCTCAGCAGCATAAGCACCTTCCTCGCAAGTGTGTGGTTGTGAGTTCAATCCCTGGTATTGATAAAAATGAAAAAGACAAAAAAAAAAAAAGCGCTTTATGGTTTTAGGTGATATTCAGGCCTTTTTTTTAAATTTTAAAAGGAAAAAAGAACAAAAATGTTACAGAATTTCAAACCATATAATAGATTAACAAAGATTAATGCATTGCATATTATTATCTTCAAAGTAGTTGCTCTTGCCAGGGATTTAACTCAGTGGTGCAAGTGCCTGCCTGGTAAGTGAGAGGTTGTGAGTTCGAGCCCAGGTACCAAAACAACAACAACAAAAAACAAAGTGTTTGCTCAGGTTACAAGATATAGGCATGAAAAAATGATCCATGAAAGCACAAACTGTTCTTTTTGACGAAGTAGCAGAGTTTAGCAGTATAATTATGTCTTTTTCTTTCTCTCTTTTCTCCTTTCCCTTATCCCAGTTGTTCTTTCCTTTTGAGCAGTTTCTTCCTCTTTCACTTTCACAATATCTAATGTGCATCTTGAATGCTGTTTACTCTTTAGGTTTTTAACAATAGGGAGATAATAAGATATTTACACATGATTTGTTTCACTTATGAGTATGGTTTCAAGTTACATCCATTTACCTATAAAAGTCTCAAATTTGCTATTTAGGTCTTGTAAGTTAATTTTTGTGCATGGTGTAAGAGGGCGATTTCTTTTTCTTTTTCCAGTTGTGGGGATTGAACTCAGGACCTTCACACTGAGCCCCACCTCCAGCTTTTTCTATTTTTTTCTTTGAGACAGGATCTTACTAACTCACTAAGTAGCCCTGGCTGGGTTCAAACTTGATCTCCTTCTGCCTCAGCCTCCCAGAGTGCTGGAATTATAGGTTCCAGAGTGCTGGAAGTATTATATACTTCCAGTACTGTGTTGAGTGAGGGTTTCCAGGCAGGTGGCCTTGTGGGACTCCTCATATAGGTGTGAGCATTTGAGAGTGATGGTCACCTTGAATGGTTTCTTTGTTTTTTTTTTTTTTTTTTTTTGCTTTTAACTCCCTTTGCTATGCTGTGAGAGAATCCTTGATTCTTGCTAGTTGGCTGTCTCAGAAGGGTATAGGTTTCCTTGTTTGTTTTTGTTTTTTGAGACAAGGTCTCACTATGTTGCCCTGGCTGGTTTTGAATTCCCAGGATCCTCCTCCCTGAGCTTCTTTAGTGCTGAGATTACAGGTGTGCACCACATGTGGCTTTGGAAGGGTGTGGATTTTGTCAAAGGCTTTGTCTGCCTCAGTTGTGATATTCCTGTGTGGCAGTCCCCCAAGCTGCCCAGCTTGAGGCCTTGTACCCATGAGACAGCTGTGGCCCTCCTAGGCTTGGGGCAGGAGTAGGGGCTCCATCAGAGGGATACACAGGCACTGAGAAGGAAACTGGGGACTGACCTCAGGGCCTCCGCACTGAGCTGTCCCTATTTTCAGACAGAGTCTTACGTAGTTGCTAAGTTGTCCAGACTGGGCTTGAACTTACGATCTTCGTGCCTCAGTCTCCCAGAGGGCCTGAGTTACATATAGCCTTTGTCAGTGGCTCTCCAGATGCCATCTCTTGATGATGCCCTGTGGCCTATACCCTCCTCGCCTACCTCTGAGGCCTGGTAATGGCCATGCCCTGTGTCATCTCTGTGCCTCAGGACCCAGCCATGGCCCACCCACCTGTCCACTCCCACCACTCATCTTCTGCCCTAGCTACCAATGATGGTTTCTCCAGACAGCGATGTCCAGCAAAACTTCCAGTGGTGACAGAAATGTCCCAGGTCCACTCTGCCTAATTAAGTACATGACAGCCCATGCAGCTCGCAAGCACAGGAGATAGGTCTGGGGACAGAATTACCATTTGGAGCACAAGTTTGAGACCAGCCTGGGTCACACACACAAAAGTTTTTAATTAATTTTAAAAATCAATTTTAAATTTAAAATTCCTGTTGGCCCTCTGTATCTTTGAGTTCTTCATTCTCAAATTCAATTAAAATATTTAAAAGATTTAAAATACTCTTTAAAAAGAAAATTATATCTGTACCAAACATGGAGAGCTTTTTTTTCTTGCAGTACTCCTTAATGTATCAAAACTATTTTTCACAGTATTGACATGGTAGGAAACATTATGGGTTATCAGGGAATGATTTAAAGCCAACATTGTGGTACATGACTGTCACCGCAGTACTTGGAGGACTGAGACAGGAGGATCACCATGAATTTGAGGCCAACCTGGCCTACACAATAAGTTCAAGGCCACAGTGAGTTCTGGACTATGTAGTGAGACCTTGTCTCAAAACAAACAGAACAAAACAGAGTATTTAAAGTACATGGGAAGGTATGCGTAGGTTTTATGCAAATATTGTGACACTATATATAAGGGAATTGGGCACCTGTGGAATTGATGTCCAGGGGCTTCTGGGATCAGTCTCCCCCAGGCATCTGTGTAGATGGTGGCCATGTGACCAGCAGCTGCTGGCTAGAACAGCATAGATCTCAAAGTGTCATCAGACAGCATCACTGGGGTGCAACTATGGCTGGGTACGTGAGGCCGACTGGGCAGCTCCTCCTCGTCCAGGCTGCTATAGCCTGGAGCTCACTTGCCTGCCCTGGGGACTGCATCCAGAGCCCAACTCCCATGTGTGCTGGTGGCTCTGCATCTGGCCCATCAGGGCTTGGGCAGGGTCAGCTCATATTTATAGAAGGTCAGGTGAGGTCTGTGGTGGAAGTTTGGGGGAACCTGGGAGAAGGAAAAGGTAGAGAACACTTGCTGTACAACTTGCCAGAGCCTCTCCCATGTCCGTCCAAGGGCCTGATGACATTCCAGGAGGCAGGTGACATAAACTGGGTTTCCCAAACATTGCACTGGAGAGGGGAGCCCTTGATGGCATTGTGATTCAATTGTGGCACCTGGAGAAATGTGCCTTGTGCCTTTTTTACCTAGATCAGAGTCCTCATGAGGCCGGGATGTGGCTTTGTGATCTTTCGATCTCTCCCCCAGCATCATATAGCTCACTGGGTAGTGCATTCATAGAACACAACGGTTCTATGCCTACCAGGTGCCTGGCCTGTGGTGGGGGTAGCACTGGTGTGAAGGGCAGGAGCGCAGGGCCTGGCAAGACCTTCCCTCTCTGGGTTTGTTACACAGTGTCCCACAGTGGGCCTCTCCTCGCCTGGCTCTCTCTCTACCCTGTCCTAGCCCCCTGATAATCTGTTCTTGCATGGATCCTCTGTAGCCCCATACTTCTCTGCCTCTTTCTGATGATCCTGTGCTGGGGAAACACCTGTCACTCTTCACCTTCTGGAAGACACCTCCAGAAAGCCTCCCTTGACCACGCCAACTTGAGATCTGATTCTTCTGTCAGTCAATGGGCACTGACATATAAGTGCCTCACCACCCCATCGGCAGTGTCCTAGCCCCCAGGTGCCTAGCAGACACTTACCAAAGTTTACAAAGTGGGCTCTTCTGGGGCTGAGGGGAGCAGGGAGAACCTGGTAGGGATGGCTCAGGGGTGGCCGCTGGGCAGCAGTACCTTGGATGTCTTGGAGGTCCCCAGATGCACCTAGAACCTGGCTTCAGTGGCAGGATCCCAGCTACCAATCTCCCCTTCTGCAGAGGTGTCCGCTTCACCGTAGAGGCAGAGGCTTTACAGTGCAGGGGAGGAAGGAGGCTGAAAGCTTCTCGCAGGACCTGGGTATCCCCTTCCTTACTGCTCTGGGCCCTGTCTCCCAGAGCCACCTAGGTCAGCCCACCCTTGACTTGCTGTGCTCTGCAGCTCTGGTTCCGGGCACAAGAGGGCAGCTGAGAGCTGAGGAAGCTGGAGCCCAGGCTCCAAGAAACACGTGGAATGTGCTTTTCTTTACTGAACTTGTCTTCTGGGGGCTGAGCTCTTCTCAGGGGACCTGGGGGCCTTCCAGGCTCCCAGAGGGAGTCAGTGGCCCTCATGTCTATCCTCAGTGGTCCTTCGTCGTCGCCACCATCACAGAAATACCCCCTGTCATCTTCCTCCCCAACTTCCTGGTGCAGAGGAAGGTGCTGCGGCCCCTCCGGACCCAGACTGGAGGAACCATTATGGTAGGTAGTAGGATGGGGGTGCACAGGGTTGCCCTCAGCCCCTGTGCCCTGCTTCACCTTCCCCCAACTTTGTAGTTGGTCAGAATCCTAAATATCCCTCCAGCCCCAGCAATGATCCATTCTCCTCAAGCCTTACCTGTCAGAGGATGGCAGATTCACTGCCCCTCCTATTTGAAGGACTGTATTTAGGTATATAGGATACCTAAATACAGCTGGTATATAGGATACTGCTGGTATATAGGATTCCTCACCCCTCCACATTCTCCTCCAAAGAGTATTCTGCCGAAGTCCCCGAGTTTAAGGTGGAAAACCAAACCCTGGGTAAGGCAATAAAGAACACTCAGGGCAGAATCGACTTTCACGTCCTGCGTGTGGTTTGTCGAACTGATTGGAGGAACAGCTCGTATATAATGATGCTGATCTAACCTAGCCCTGGATCAATACATACTGCATGGTGTAATTACCATTCATCCCCCAGACTGGATCCTTTTAGGATCTGTCATCAGTTTACCATATTTCCATGAGCAAAACAAAACACTTTTCCTTTCCAAAGTGCCATTAAAATCATGCTCTGCTCACTTGTGATAATAAATACTTAACTCAGTTTCTTGCAAAATTGCCAAGAGGCTTAGGCACCAAGCACTGTGCTGCCAGTCTGGCCCTTCTTATTGTCTGATTGTGTTGACTGGTGGGCTGGATGGGTCGCCCTTGCATCCCACTGTGTCTCTTATTTGTACCCCACAGCTGGCTGGCAACTTTATGGAATGAGTGTGTGAGTGTGTGAAGCCGCAAGTTTGTGAATGAGCGAGTAGATTAACGAATGAGGGAAGGGACCAGCTTCGACCCCTCACCCTCTGCTTGTCTCTGAAGGCAGGGAAGCTGGCTGTGGAACGAGGCTGGGCCATCAATGTGGGTGAGTGTGGGAAGAGGGTCTGGGGCAGGGAGGGACCGGGATGCCACCTGAGCCTCCTTGTGGAAGGGTATGGGGGGGTGGCGTGTGCAGCCTCCTGGTTCCTGGGAGGGATGGGCACTCCCTCTGGTATAGAGTTCTGATCTGAAAGGTTGCTCATTGCAACTTCCAATCATAGGGAGCTTCTTTCCCCAAAATCTGTGCCTCCCCTGGCAGCTGTACATAGGAATGATGTCTGCCTTGTTAGGGCTCCCCAAAAAGACTGTATCTCCTTGGTCACATGGTAGATGGACTGACCAAAGGTCAACAGCACCCACAGGGGTCCATAACCCAGTGCTCCCAGTTCCTGACTCTCCCACAGCACTGGTTCACACAGAACAGCTGCACACGTGCAGCCCTCTTGTCCATTGGGCAATTGTGGGCTCATTTCAGGGGATCCAGAGGTGTTGGGGAGAGGGATCCTGGACACAGACTGAACTGTCCCAGGCTTGGGAAGTGGACAGAGCCCCTGTTGCCAAGGCAGTTCCCACCAGCAGAGGGTCCCCTCCCAGACACCCCTCCTGGTATGGAAGCTGCGCTGCGGGTGTGTGGGGTGACCTGTGATGCTGCCCTGTGCGTGGCCTGTGGTCAGGGACCTGCTGGCTGCCCATGACTTTGCTGAGAGGGGAGGAGATGCTGAGGTGGAGGGACAGGGGAGTACCTGGCCTGACGCCCCTCCCCTTCTGCAGGGGGTGGCTTCCACCACTGCTCCAGTGACCGGGGCGGGGGCTTCTGTGCCTATGCTGACATCACGCTGGCCATCAAGGTGTGTCTCCAGGGAGCCCTTGGGTTTCTCCTCAAGCCCTGCAACCCTGTATGGTGCCGTCTTCCCCTTCTGGATATGGGGCTCAGGCTAGCAGACCACAGTGCCACACTGCTCTGTGTGTGGAAGGGGCTTGGCATAGTCTCTCCAGCCTCAGGGACCTCAGAGGGGCACTGTCACTTTAAACTGTGGGAAAAAGAGCTTTGCTGCCAGGACCAGGAGCACAGGGATGAGAAGGGGAGGAAGAGGTGGTTAGCTATGATAGAATTGAGAACAGCTGGCATCTACAGATGTTTGACCCCCGTACTTGCTTTCCCCATGACTCCCTCACTGAACCCTCATATGTTCCAAACAAGGAAACTGAGGGCCAGAGAGGGGAGGCCACTCTGTACCTGGCCTCATGCTGGGTGTCTGAAATAGGTGATAAGATCCCCATCTCCAGAGACACACAGCAGCTGCTGGGTTAGCAGACCCAGGTACTATGAGAGGGGGTGCACAGGAGACCTTGGGGTGGGGAGGAGGGAAGGGCATTTCCTGGAGGAGGGAATGTTAGGGCTTGGCCTTGTCAGATGAGCCAAAGATTGGGCAATGAAGTTCAAGGGCTCAGGTGCTTCTCCCTTAATTGTACACCTGCCCGGGACACCCAGGGAAGTCCAGGGATCAGCACTCACCTTCTTCAGGGAGCTGCCCTGACCACCCACTGTGTGCACACAAGGCTTCTCTGGTGCCCCACAGCTTCCCTGTGAGTGCTGTGTCTGCCCACTGTGTGCCCTCCCTCCCTTCACTCCCAAGTATCGCTGGGTCCTCTGGCCAGGCAGTTGGTCCTCACCTTGTCCCTCCCCTCCCTGGGCAGTTCCTGTTCGAGCGAATGGAAGGCATCTCAAGGGCCACCATCATTGATCTTGACGCCCATCAGGTGAGTGCCATGTCCCTAGCAGCACCAGCAATGTCCCCAGGCTGCTGCTGTGGGCTCCCTTGTCCTGTGGCTGGCAGTGGGACTCTTGAGTCTGGCCCAGTGCCCTATGAGGCCTGGCCTGGCAAGGGTCCTGGCACCTGCGAGCAGCTCCCATGTCATTTCCACAGGGCAATGGGCACGAGAGAGACTTCATGGGTGACAAACGCGTGTACATCATGGATGTCTACAACCGCCACATCTACCCTGGGGACCGCTTTGCCAAGCGTAAGCTGCTGCCCATTAACAGGCCTGACTCAGTACTCTGTGGGCTGGGGGAGTGGGGGGATCACCCACTTCTCTGTAGCCATGAGGGCGGGGTGGTTCTTGGTGTGCACTGGCTGGCGCAGACTGAGGAACAGACCACCCACCCAGGGCCACACAGCTGCCCAGGGCACATGTGTAGGGGTCTATGTGTTAGCAAACCCCTGGAGCAGCCCAGAGGGAAAAATAGATCAAGAGAAGGCACAGGTTAGATGGCAGAGCTAAGTCTCAGTATAAGACGTGGAGGATATATGAAAATGGAGACAGCTCATCAATCCAGTGGCAGGAATGTTCAGATGAGATTTGCAAGCAGGAGCTGCCCACTCTGCAGGCATGGGCCTGTGATAGCTTTTCATGGCTGTGACAAAATGCCAAGCTAATGAATTTACAAAGCAGAAAGGCTTCTGATTCTGGAGGCTTCACTGTAGTGGGCTGGACCTGTAGCTTGGGCCTGGGGGAAGCCCACACATGAAGACTGGAGCAGAGTTGCTCACCCTTGGCCACCAGGAACTGAGGGAGAATGAGGAAGGGGTGGGCCTGCCGTCCCCATTGGACACACCTCCTGTGACCTCACATTCTTCCATGTAGCTCCACCTCTTAAAGGTACAGGCACCTTCCAAGAGTTGTGCAAGCTGGTAACCAGTGCTTTGAAACAGAGCCATAGGGCACATTGCACGAGGGGGGCTAATGAGTGTGGTGTAAGCAAGCTCCCCGCCAGTACCACCTCAGGAACTGGTTTCTGAATTGAATCCTGAGTATACAGACCTGGGGCTTGGGATGTGGGCAGGGTGTAAGGTCAAGCTCTGCCCACAGTAGTCTCTGTGTGCCATGGGCAGAAGGGGTTCAGCTCTCTCGGTGCCCCTTCGAATAGCTTTGGCGAAATGAGAGGCTGTGCTAGGTGGTGGTCAGGCAGACCCAGGGCCAGCCCTTCCTTCATTATCAGCAGGCCCCAACCTAAACCTCAGTTTCTCTCCGTGCCCCATGGGGCCTGGGATGTGTCCCTTTCAGAAGCCATCAGGCGGAAGGTGGAGCTGGAGTGGGGCACAGAGGATGAGGAGTACCTGAGCAAAGTGGAGAGGAACGTGGAGAGAGCCCTCCAGGAGCACCTACCTGACGTGGTGGTGTACAACGCCGGCACCGACATCCTGGAGGGGGACCGCCTCGGGGGACTGTCAATCAGCCCTGGGGTATGTCCTGACCTGGGGACAGGATGGTGGGCACCTGGTGTCAGGGAGGAGCTGGGCTGGGGCAGGACTTCCTGGTCCTTGGAGTCTGGGCCGACCTGAGCCTACCCTCCTCACCCCCACAGGGCATTGTGAAGCGGGATGAGGTGGTATTCCGCTTGGTCCGGGCTCACCAGATCCCCATCCTCATGGTGACCTCAGGCGGGTACCAGAAGCGCACAGCCCGCATCATTGCAGACTCCATCCTCAATTTGCATGACCTGGGGCTCATCGGCCTAGAGTCACCCAGCCTGTCGGCACAGAGCTCAGACACTCCTCTGCTCCCACCTGCGGTTCCCTGACCCCTGCTGCCCAGCTAGGTGTCCCCTGCCTGCCTCTGGGCCCAGCCCGCCGCCCACCTTTGTGCTTTTCCTTCTCTAACCTTCTGGCCAGGAGGTGGCCACCAGTGACAGGTGGGAAGGGCAGGACCATCCCAGGGAAGACCCCACACAGGTAGGGGAGGCAGGGAATTCATGAGCTTGGAGGTGCAGGTGGCTTGGGGCTGCAGGGAGGTGGCCAGGTGCTGGTGTCCAGGTCCATGGGAAATGGAGGAGTGTCCTACTGTCCCTGTGGGCCTTAGTTATGGGAGGAACCTATGGTGCTAGGTGTCGGGGCCCAGGGCAGTTGCAGTGGGCTCTCCCATCTGGGGTTCTGTCTTAATAAAGCGAGGTCTCAGTCTGCTTCCCCAGCACATCTAAAGGTTGAGAATGGGGAGGCAGTGCCCCGCTTGGAGTTGTCTCCCCTATTCATTATGGGGCAAGTTTGCAGGAAGGAATCCTCAGATCAGAAATGGGGACCAGCCCTGGAGCCTCAAGGGTCTCCTGGCCTGGGGGAACAGGAGAGAACAATGGGGCTTCAGCAGGCAGTGCAAGGGGGCCAGGCAGGGCTCCCTGGATATTGGTGAAGGAGACAGCTGGCTGGGACAGCCCCAGGAACGGGCAGAGGGCACGGTCTGTGCTGCCCCCATGTCTCCCTTTCCACAGCCTTTCCCCCATCTCTCCTCTAAAGGTGACACTGAGGAAGCTGGCCGAAGAGCCACCCTTCCAGGCAGTGGCTGTCATGTGGACCCAAGGTGGAGGGACAGAGAGGGCGAGGTCTGAATGTCACACACTGTCCACCTGCTGACCCCTGGCCTGGACTCACGGCACTAACAATGCACTTTGGCATAGCTGCCCTTGCTGTGGTCTCTCTTTGTCTGACTCAAGGTCCCTAACAGCCATTCATGCCCAGTGCAAGCCTGACACCCCTAGTGCTGGGATTGGACACAGCTTGTCCCGAGGTGCCGCTGTCCTAGAGAAGCCTAAAAACTGTGATAAGACTGGCTGCTGTGTGTTCTGGAGGGAAGAGACCCTGCCTCCCAAGGATGAGAGGAAATAAAGATTTAATATTCAAGCAGCAGAACACCCTGCTCGGGGTTGCTGCCTAGTAAAGGCTGGTGTTTTATTCCGTTGCCAAGTCCTGGGGTTTCAGGAACTATTCCCATGCAACAGAAGAGGAAGCTGAGGCCCAGCAGGGTGGGAGTTTTGCCCTGGGTCACACATCATTTGAGTCACAGAGCCAGGCTCGAATCAAGCTCTGCCAGATTGCAACATAGTTAGGGGATCTGCAGGGGTGGAGGGCGAGATAGGGGCTGCTCCCCTGACAGAGGAGCCCTGGTGTCCCTGGGGGCTGAGGTCACTGGGATTGGGGCCAGGAGGCAAGGGACCGAGGGCCAACAGTGAGGGACTGTGATGGGCTTGACTGCATAGGGTAGGAGCTGCGGGCAGAGGGAAGGTGTTCCTTCCAGGGTCACAGCTAGAGAGCGCTGCACCAAGGCAGGGCTAGAGCAGGCAGGTAGGGGTGCGGAAGCTTGTCCTCAGCCTGGCAGAGGAGCCAGGGCATGCTGCTGTGGCACAGCCTGGGTAGGGAGCCATTGGGGTCAGACACTGCCAAGCTCGAGCACATCAGAGGGTCCAGGCTGAGGAGCTGGTCACAGGCCAACACTGACTGGTGGTACTAAGGGCCTGGCCCTGTTTCAGAACCTTGGGTGGGGTGGGGTGACCTGCTGAACCACTCGGCACTCTGGTAGAAGTGTAGCAACTGGGGCCTGGAAGGGCTTCATTCCTTGCTAAAAACCCCAGGCCCTGAGCAGAGGAGAAAGGATTTGAGTCAGGGCCCCAGCTCCAGTCATTGGGCAAGCTCTTTCTTTGTAAGAGGAGGGCTTCGGAGATGCTTATGGGAAAGGGCTATTCCAGGAACAGATGCCCTGATACCTGGGTGCATGTGGGGTACCTGGCCCTGGGGGCCAGACAACAAGCGGGGGGAGGGGGTGAGAGAAGGATGGAGGAGAAGTGAGGAGGTAGGAGGAGGAGGAGGAAGCCGAGAAGGAGCAGCATTCCAATGTCAGGCAAAAGCGAGGCGGATCTGATCACAGGACCTGGGTTTGGTGCAGTGCGCACCTTGCACCCTGGCTATGGAACCTCCAGGCCCTTGCCCATCTCACAACGTGGCATGAGTCTTCTCCCCACTCTGCCTCAGAGCTCGCAGCAGGCATCCCCGGCCAGTGCTGGCAGAGCTGAAAGAAACTATCCAGACAGCTCTCCTGGAGGGGTTCCTGGCTCACACCCCAACACTTGGCTGGGGAGCCTTGGAGGTTGCGTACTGAGGGCTTCCTTCAGATTCCCCAGAGTCCCACAGCACAGGGCTGGGGACTGTGCCAGCCTTCTGTGTTCATGCACGAGGTGGCAGGATGAGGATGGTTATTGCTCAATCTCTAGTTTGGGGGATACCAGCGAGCTGTATGGGGCCCCTCTAATCAAGACACCAGTATGGACTGACCCTCACACTTGTGGAGTGGGGATCTGAGCTCCCGGCTCGGCCATACAAAGCAGCCTCCCAGCCCGCAGACGTCCAGGTCTGAGGGTTTGGGCGACACAGCCAAGCCTGGCCTCTGGGTGCTGGGGGCCTCCCTAAAGTCTGCTACAGCATCCTCCACCCCGGGAAACAGGCTGAGTGGGTCCCTGTCCCCAGCACATGGAGGACAGCTAGCTTTCCAGGGATGGCATCTCCTGCCAGCAAAGTCCAGGCCAGTGACATCAGTGCTGTATGCCTCAGTCTCTCCTCTGTGAGTGGCAGTGCTGATCCTTCCCTCCAAGGATGCCTGAGGGGAAGGAAAGCAGGTAAGATGCCAGCTTTGACTCCCCTTACCAGCAGGCCTAGCTGAGAGCCCCGGAACCTGCAGGTCCCTCCTGCTTGTCCTGAGCCTGGGCCCCCTTTCTGAAGCATATCAGCATGACGGACACACACACAGGGGCCCCAGCAGTGGGTTCAGATCCTGCTTTTGCCTGTGTTCCCACATGACCTCTGGCAAGGGACAGCTCGCCTGCCTCAGTTTCATCATCTATAACCCAGGGTGCACAGAGTGGATGTAGGGGTGAATGAACACACTGAAACCCCAATACTAGACCTGGTCAGTGTCTGTTCTCGTTATCAGGGAGCATGGCATTGTAAGTCACGGAGCCTGAGAGATGGTGTCCAGCAACCTTGCCACTGTTTCCTGGGTGCCAAGCCCTGTGTGTGTGCTAGAACGCTATGGATTCTAAGTTTCCTCAAGGCAAGATACAGGCTTGCTGCATCTCAGAATCACCCAGGACAGAATTAGGATCCGAAGAGTTGGTGTGGAAAACTTGAGGCAAGACAGAGAACTGAGGCCCGCAGAGGTGGGGGGTGTGGCCTTCCAGGACCGGAGAGTCTGAGAGCCTCACCAAGTCTGGCACCCAAGTCTGACATCCTGGGGTACATGGGCTCCCCCCACCAGGCCGGGGCAGACAGAAGGTCTGGGTGGTAGTTATGAGTTCTGGGGGTGCCCTGCAGACGTTGTGGGAGAGGGAAAGGCTGAGGGGTGCCTGCAGGTTGTGGGGGGTGCAGGCTGAGGGCATTGGCAGAGGCCCCCACCCCTATGGGAGGGACTTGGCTGTAGTCGCCTCCCTACCATAATGATACCCAGGCAGCAGCCAGACACAGTCTGGGAGGGGCTTCTGTCTCCCGCTCTGAGCCTTTGGAAATTCCCAAGCCCATCTGGTACTGGTTACGCTGCAGTATTGCTGTCTCCTCTGCACACAGACAAGGCAGCGCTTTTATTTCTCTGCTCAAGCTCAGGAATGTGCCTTGTACTGCCGGCAGGCAGACACCCACCGGTTCCCCATCCTCGGTGGGCACCACGCCCATCACCCTTTTAAAGGAATACGGTTCCTTCTGGCTCCCTCCAGCCCCTCAGTGGTTCTCCTGCCATTCTAAAAACAAGGGCAGATGCTTTGGGCTATACCCCAACCTCCAAGCGTTCTTGGCCACATTACAGGCATAAGAACTGAGATATGGAAGGCGGCATAGTACAAGTCTGGAATCCCGGCACTCCGGGGAGGCTGAGGCAGTAGGACTGCAACAAGTTTGAGGCCAGCCTGCTCTGTGAAAGGGGATTGGAATGTGGGATGAGGGCCTCTGAAGGGCGTGGCTGTGCTAAAGGCTGCCGATGGCCATTCTGTGCCCAATGGCACCTCTGCTACCCACAGCCACCTCAGACAGGAGGGGGACAAGTCCACAGCCCTCCCTCTGCAAATCTCCTGTGGAGTCCAAGCTGGGCTGCTTCTGTGCCAAGGCTATGTGCCTCCTTCTTCCCTTTGAGACCCTCAGGAATCCCACTGGTGTCCATGTGCAGAGCCTGATGGGCCTGCTGCATGTAATCCCAGCACGGAGGGAGGCTGAGGCAGGAGGGTTGCAAATTCAAATGCCATCCATCGGGACAACACTGCAAGAGTCTATCTCAAAATTTTTTTTAAAGAGCTGGAGGTACAGCTCAATGCATAGACCCTGGATTCAATCCCCAGTGTTTAAAAAAACAACAACAGGTATGTGTGTAGGCAAAGGCAAGGAGCACATTTCAAACCATAGTATGTGGTACTGGGGGATCCCGAGAGCCCAGGAGGAGCACAACTCCCTTCATCCAGTGTGAGCAAGGAATGAGCCTTGGATGTGTGTGCCAGCAAGTGTTTTGGCATTTGTTGCTGCAGCATAACTGGCCGGCCTGGCTGCAAGCTTGGTTCCCTGACCAAGGATGTTTTCCTGATACCATGTGACCAAGGCTGAATGAGAATTATCTAAGCATTTTCATTCAGGGCCAGGAGAAGGGACTCTACCTTTTGATTACTGAGTTGCAGAGCAGCATCTTTCCTGCTATGAAGAAAAAAATCTATATTCGATATGACCGAGTAAAATGGAGGAAGAAAAAGATACAACGTGATGAAAAAGAGAGAATCCATCCTGCGGTGGACAGTTGCACAGGTTGTGTGCCCTGAGCAATTCTAGAGCCTGTACAGTTAATTGTGATCACAGTAGACACGTGTATTGATTCAGTTAGTTTTCTGGCAGGCAGCAATAAAGTGTCTAGAGGAAGCGTTTTTCTAATTTGCACAATTGCCACACAGATTCAGCAGGCCCAATCAAGTTCTAGATTTCAATCCTTGAGTTCCCAAAGGACCTGTAGCTCATGCAGAATGTGTTAGAACTTATTCTTGTGATGACTTCATATCCTCGTGAATCTCTGCTCACAGCAGATATCACCAACCCATCACTCACAGGTGCACTGAGCTTATTTTACGTTCCCAGAGCAAACCGCAGTGTTTGCAGAAATTATAGCTGCGAGGTAAGAGCTAGGACAAACTCTTCCAGCTGAGGGGGAAAGGGTGCCCAGCAGCAGTTCTGATCTAGACCTGCCTGGCTCATCCCCCGGGCTTCATGGGCAGAGCATGGCAGGGTGAGACCTTTAGTCTGGGTAGGTGGTGAGATTCTGGGCGACTGTGCTTGAGAGAGTCCGGGTTCCCTGAATCAATTCTCCTCGATCAAATAGCTGGGAAGGCTATTAGCTCCACATCCCCCAGCCTCCACCTCCTGCTTTGTTGTGGCCCAAAACTGGTTCCCTTGGGAACACAGAAAAGATACTGTGGCGAATCATTTTCTCTTAAAATGGCTGAATTATAGGTGTGCCATTGCTGTGAAGGAGAGGCCAGAATTATCTTGGGAGGTACGTCTGTGTGGGAAGCTGGATGAGTGAGGTGTCATTGGAAGGGGAGAAGGGTGTCATTTGCTTGAGGTCCGAGTCCCAGCATCCCTGGTGTGGAGGGAAGGGGGCTGCGGCAGGGCCCTGCCCCTGCTCTGCCAGGGCAGCTCTGCCCCCACAATCTGACTGCCAGCAGGTCCCGGAAAGGGTCCAGAGAGCTGTGGGCTCTGCAGCCACATGGGCAGGGTGGGTTACTAGTACTGCCTTCCCAGCTAGGAGACCCGGGGCAGGGACCCCGAATGAAACCTCGGTCTCCTTTTCTCTGAAATGGGCACTGGACCCCCGCATAAGGCCACAGAGAGGACCAGATGGGCACAGGGTGATCCCGGGGGTAGCAGG